TAACGCCGTTATTCCCATCACTGCTCACATGGCAAACAAAATGATTCTGATATAATTATGTACAATAAAAAAATAAAAATAAAGTGGCTGATACAATACAATCACTCCTAGAAAATGAACACATGAATGAATGCATATGCAAATTCTATCTATATTCATGAGTTAAGCGTTCTATTTCACGCAAGATTTTGACCACATCTTTTCGAGTTGAAATAAATTGGTACGCGTGCAGCAGTTTGAGACCCAAACTGCAAATGACTGCAGCTCTGAACCAAACAGTCTTTTGAGGAACAGCTGAGCGGCTTTACAACCACGTCCCGTTCCAACATCTCATGCATCATTTAGCGTCAATAAATTTGGTGTGAATTCTGAAATCTGACATTACTCCACCAGCCTTTACAAGTGAGCCTCCGAACACTGAATAAATGTGAGGTTGTTGCAAATCATTTGATCAAAAGCAGCCAATCCTACCATGAACACGCCACATTAAGACAGCCATCCATCTCCCCAGTATCAATCAAGGAGAGGACTCACACACCACTATCTATTTATCTTGCCAAGTGGTCTATTAATATCAAATTAATGCTTCCATTGAGAGTATCAATCACTCACGCAGTTTTTTGCTCAACTCATTAGCCCGGTAATTGTCCTTGTTTACCACCGAAAAGTCAAGACAAGATGACTTCCAAATATAGGCAGTTATACCTCTGCTTTCCCCAGGACAGACCATCTGGTGACAGGACAGCTTTCCCCCAAATCTTAATCTGTGCACGTCAAGACTTTTCCATTTTAAAGTTGTCATAAATGTTGCTCCGTATTTTGAGTGCGCTCTCGCTTGGGGGGTATTGCATAAGGACGGAGCTGTCAGGTGGATGTGGCGAGACAAGATGAAGCCAAGTCATTTGTTTACTTTAAGTGCATCAAGTTTTTTTTAAATTATTTTCTGATTTTGACATTTTCCTGGTACAACAACACTTGTTTTAAATGTGAATGATAGTTTTACACTGATGAAGCCAGAGATTGTTATGTGGTGGAAGGCAGCTGGAAAAGCTTTTTTCAGAAACTGTCAAAGCAAAAGTCTTTGTATGCTCCTGTCAGATCAGTGAGGTCTGAAAACCAGCTCTTGTTGATCGTGCCCCGGTCTCGTCTCAAAACTCGAGGAGACCGAGCCTTTTCTGTTGCTGCCCCCAAACTGTGGAATAGTCTACCTCTGTTCATTAGAGCAGCTCCTTCATTGGAAGTTTAAAGTCTAGTTTAAAGACACATGTTTACGCTCTGGCTTTCAACACCAATTGAACTTAACCACTTTACTTTTACATGTATGTGTGTGTATTTTATGCTGTTTTATTTTATTTTGATCATTCGTGCCTGTGAAGCACTTTGGGCAACTGGTGTTGTTGTAAAGGTGCTATACAAATAATGTTGTAATTCCTGGGCCAAACAACATGACACTAAGATTGGCAAAAGATAAGTCGGTGAATCAACTATGCCCCAATGCCTCTCATTCCTCATACAAGTTTCTAAAAGTAGTGAGAATATTCAAAACACGTCAGCCAGTTGAATGGGCTTTAAGACATCAGTGCAATATGGCAGCTTTGTGAATCCAATCACAGTAGTAACGATTTGGACATTTGCTTCATTCCTTTTCTCATCATTTTCTTTTTCAACATTTATTTCCAAAAATGTGTCTTTCTAGTAGAGTTGTATTTACCTCCAGTTTGTCAACATTACATTTTCACCGTTAAATCAAAGTATGATTTTGTAATTAAAGAAATTCTGGTCTTTACACAGTTGCTTGGTAACATCCCTCCAGTGGTTCATAATTTACAATCGGGAAATTACAAATACAAGAATATAGGCAAATTTGAAAAATCGCCATCCAGGAAAATATCAAATATCATCTTCAAAAGTCATGTCTAACTTGTCAGATTTTTAAAAGTGAAGAGCTATAATATTGTTAAAGAAATGGACGGATTACAGAAAAATTCTCAGTCTCGGTCTACACCTCAGGTTTAATACAGCGTTTTAAAAAGGGGTTCACTAAGGATACATGCATGTTCTTTAGGGTCCAATTTCTAGTTATGTACCTTCGGTGTTTCAAATTTGTACCACAAGATACTTATATGTTCCTTTTTGGGCCTTGTACGGTGCAACTATGTTCTCACTTGAAAAGGCCCAACTTATTCTTTGGGATCGCAGAACAATACACGGCACACTATTTAATATAATTATTGAGGTTGTTGAATGTTAATGAGACGGTTTCTTTACCCTGGCCCATTGAGACAATGTCACAGCTTTTCGATGTAAAGACAATTATACGGTGAATAGGGGCAAAGTGGGGCATTTAATATCCTTTTTTAGTTTTCAAATAATAAGATAAGAAAGTCTTTATTCATCCCACAGTGGGGACATTTTTAAATACCATTGTTTGACTTCAACATGGGTACACATGGTCATCATTATGTGACTGATGGTATGTCTCATCAAAAGGTTACATTTATATCTTGTTTCTAAATTGTTTTATATAATTGTGTTGTATTGTTTGTTCATTTCTAAGGATTTCCTTTTAAAAATGGGCTTTTATCTCATTTCTATATAAATAAACATTGTATCTATAGTTAGTCCAAATATGTGCCCATAATGGTACAATGGGTTGTCACTGTGTCAGTACCCTAAAAAGAACAATATTGTACCCTCTTCTAGAAGTACATATTTGTCCACTGCTTTCAAGATCCTTTATTGTCCCAAGGGGTACAAATCTGTTCTCTAAGGTACAAAACTGTGCCCACTTGAATGGGTACGAGTGTACCTTTGAGGGTACTGCCCCAGTGACGAGCTGTTGGACTCTTAAAGGTAGTTTTAACCTTTATTTCCAACAGTGCACTATAGACTTGTGTGTGGCTTTCCTGATTTTTTTGTTTTATTACAATTGAAATATGTATAATTGGATTTAAAAAAAAGGAAGTGTGACACTATTTGAGACAAAACCATCATGTTAATGTTTTATTGTTATAATGACATCACCGATGCCATTGTCCCGCAGCCACAGAGCTGAGCTGCAGTTGTCGACCCGCTTCTGGTTTAAGCCTCAGACTAACTTCCATTTGGAGCGTGTAGAGCTGTGGAGCTTTCAGAGGGGGACTTCCACATGGGACTGGAGCACAGTGACAAGCAGACCAGCCTCAGGATTCAGGACTGGATCTGCAGCGGGGACTCAGCTGAAGGGCTGAGGACACCACTAGGACTTACAGAGTACTGCAACATGACAAATGAATCATACAAACCACTCCACTACGGACTGTCCAAACATTTAATACAGAAAATTACATAAACACAGCATCAGTTTACTTTTAATGATAACTCAAAATAACCTACAATTCACAAGAAATGCCAAACATATCACGGTTAAAAGTCTATACACAAGGAAATGTACACATATAAAACACTTATATACACTCTTTCAATATATTATTATATAAAGATTTAGAACGGGAAGCCAAGCAGCTTGAAGACAGAGTGTCACAGAAATGCTGAGTGCGTCTCTGGCTCATGGCAGACTATGAATAGGTAGTTTTAACAAACAGTTGTTGGATCCTGTGCAGTGAACATGGCCAATTTCTATTGATGAGAGTTTGAGAAACTTAACTAGGGCTGTCGCAATAGAGCGATTTGCGATATACTCAGACTAGTGTGGGACTTATTACCTATTTATATTCACCAGCCTCTACAGGGACACGCTTGCTGATTGACACAGCTGACGTTAGAGGAATAATCTGATTTAGATATATATAAGTTTGATTTTTAGATTCAGAAAACTTTCGTGGGTGAGTTTCTATGCATGCGATTGTATGAATATTTGTATGAGGGCTGGTGGACAGAAGGCCCTGTTTACACGGAGACATAAGTCGATATAGTTTACTAACAAATTGGCATTTCGTTCATATGGTGTCAGTGTTTCACAGGGTGAAGACGCACGCTTTGAAATATGGCCTCCAGGGTGGGACAATACTGATGCACCGCGGGGCAGGGGGTTGTATCGCAACCAAATGAACAAGGGGCCAACTCTCTGGCTGCGATGACCTCATCCACTACCCCCCATAAATTTGGACATGTGCAGTAGCTGATAACAAACAACAATGACGGCGGATCAACTTTGGCTATGTGTGCTTCTAGTGTTACAAGGAGGAGCAATTCTACTTCTTAGTCCGTCCAAACAAAACCGTGCACAGATGTAGCTGCAGACAGTTTCCATTTTCGCTGCAACTGTTAAATGCCGAATGATGTCGGTGCATTATTTTCGGCTTTCATGTGGCCTGAGGAGGATGTTGTTGAGGAACTGGTTATACTCGCACATGTCACATCGTAAAGTTCAACTGCCCACTACTGGCCGGGCGTTAGAACTACACCGTTTTCACACACATTTTTGAGAATTGCTTGGCTGCGTCTCACTAAGGGCAAGGGCCTAAGTTCACTTGCTTCGTCCTTCACACTTGGGTCCTAAATCCACGTTTTGATTCAGCCACATTACACTACATTCATGCACAATTAGGCACTGAGCTCTTATTACATCCCAGCACAGAGTTAAGCAGTTGCATTAAATGTGTGTGGGGGCCTTTGCAGTTACCACTTGGCATGGGCACTTGTGCGGTCAGAGAGAGATACCGCTAAATTGTCAAAGAGCAGATGTTGCGACAACCCTAACAATAACATTCAGATGAGCTGCCACAACAGCTCACAGAAGCAGATATTTACATTTATGAATCCTGTTGTAAACCGAGACAGTTCCTATGGCATCTCAGTGAGTGAGGTTTGAATCCACAGAACAGTTCTCACCAGTGTGAAATCCTTCAAATGGAGAAAATAATACATTCACAGATTCCAAGTACATATATTTTAAAAGAGTCTGTTCACTCAAGTCACTCTTTCCCCAAGCTGGTAATGCTTCCATGTTGTGTTTATTTCCACGTGTCTTTGTTTAAATCATTTCTCTTTTTACATGTTTACAAAAGCAGCAGAATGAAGAGGAGCAGAGACAGTAGAGCCTGGTGGTGGGCTTGTGAGACTGACACAGCGTGGCTGTGTAGACGGGGAGTCCTGGGAGAGTTCTGCTTTAGTTTGCTGGGTGGAAGTGCCTTTAGGTCCTCCAGGGCGCCAAACGCTGCCATGGAGAACTCTGGGTCTCCTGTGGTCAGCAGGTCGAACACACATGACTGGAAGTAGACGTCTTCCACCTGCAGAGTCTCTCGACACTTGGCTGTGGCGCGCTCCACTGTGTACACCTGGTGGGGGGGCCTGAGAGGGCCCAGCTCTGTGTTGGTGCCCTGTGCGCTGCCCGGGACACGCCCCCGGCTCAGCATGTGCTCTTTGATGAGCTCGTTACGCGGACAGCCGTGCAGGCACAGCTGCAGCCCGCTGTTGTCCTCAGAAAAGTCCAAAAGGTCCTCAGGCATGCGGATGGCGAAGGTCAGATAGCTGCCCACGCGCCGGATGATGAGGGAAGTGCCCATGTATCTGGCTTGGATTTTCACCTGGCGCCCCACACCAGATCCTCCCTTCTCCACTATAGTGAGGCTGTCTCCGCCGCTGCGAGAGCCATCCATGAAAGCCAGTGGCAGGTCTTCGGTGGTGGCCTGGTAAACCTTCTGATCTGTACAGCCCAAGTAAGATTTAAAAATCACGGTGATCTGAAAGAAAAAAAAGACACAACATGAATATTTATTTCTCATAGTTCTCAGTTCATCTATTCAGAAACCTGGCTAAAAATAGGAAATATATGCTGTAGTCTTGACATCTGCCACCAGGTGGCAGCAGGACATTAGTACTGAGACCTCTGACTTCTGTCCTACAGTGGAACACATACAGTATATCTGACTCTAATCTTATCCTTGCTAATTGATAATGATCTGTCACTGTTTAACTGAGCTGTTCTCAGCCAGATGAAGATAAGAGAATCCAGATAAAGAACATGTTCTCCACATTGTCCTTCACAGCAGACATCACCTACTCTGAGCACGCTGCTCAGACTTGCACTGTGGCTGTGATTCATTTTCCAGCAGAGCTTTGAAAAACTAAGCCCTGTGTCTTCAGAGCGTCCTGACAAAAGCGGCTGTGGTGGAGTTTACACTTATACTGTACTTGATGGATGATTTCCTGTCTCAAGTCTAGCAGCTCAAAACAAGTCTGAAAGCACCATGTGGGCATGCGGGTGCTGGCATTGACAGGGAAGGCAGGTTTACGTTCGAGGTGCACACCCAAAACAACTGTTACTGTTTTCCAAATGTGTATGTTGAAATCTCTGCCACCATCTCGCCGTTCTGCATTTGCTCTAGTTTAATACCAAACCACCGGCCAGGTTTGATGTCATACTGGCGAAACGTAAAATGGGTGAAAGTGATAAGATTTTATTATGTATCGCCAAACACAAGAGGCAGCCTCTTTTATATGCAGGGCGCCTACTTCACCTCTGGCATTCCAGCGTTTTTATCTGCAAACACCAGTCGCTTCAATTAATAGAATTAGGCCTTTGCACTGCCATCCAATAATTACTTTATTTTTCCACATTATGCCATATTTACACAGAAAGGGCCAGTTAATTATTTGACCAGAGGGGTGAAAAAACATTCCTGATCGTGGCGGCGGAGTAGAATGTTGAATCGAGCTTTAATCACTTCCATATGACCACCCATGTGTTAAGGTAGAGCGCTCAAGCATGTCTGTGATTCAACACCAGCGCAGCCCTCTCCTCCCTCCCCTCTTTCCCCCATAGATCTGAAGGAGGACAAGAGGAATGCTGCAGGCTGGAGAGGCACCGTGGAATGACAATTAACTTCACATGTTTGATACTTTATGGCAATGCTGCAACAATACCGGTGTGCTCACAAACTCATATAGAGCGTGGAGGGAGCAAGTTAAGGGCTGTTTGTTTAGGGCTCAGCGGACAATTATTTTCATTAGAGGCAAGTCCAAGCAATTATTTTCTCATTTAATCAATTATTCATGCCTCGCCCTAACTCTAACCTCCAGCGTTTCACCGCCTCATCACTTGAGAACTTTCATTTTCTTGTCGTTTTTCTCAGGTCGTGTTTGTAACTGATGGGCTACAGACATGCCTCTAGCATGAAAAGCTGGAGAAATTGAATGTATTTCCTGTCAATAAAACCATGAAGTAAACAGGAATAACTTAATAGATTTCAGAATATAATCATTCACACACGACTAACAATAATAGTCTAAAGATGATGGTACATTATTAAAATGAAGCTAAAGCGCAAGTTCAGACCGTTCTTCAGCCAACACTATCTCAACTCGCTTGACTGCAGCCCTCTCCCTTCTATTAATCAGCAATCGGCTCATCTGGCACAGTTACACACCTGTGCTGCAAGCCAGCATTTAAAGAGTGCCATGCTGCACCAAAATCTGCTTGTAATGCAACCCTCCTCCTCATTGCTGCACTTCAGCTTCCGCCACCACCAGGGTCTGGCATACCAACATGTCAATGAACATATCTCATATCTCTACCGTTCTACATCCTACCAAACAGTAAGTCATGAAATATCATTATAATGCAAACATAGATTTCATGATATATAATGGGCAATTAATGAGAGGATCAGAGAGTAATCTACTCTCAATTGTCTGATTCCTCAGCCACAAATGAACGACATGAAGTCCAATAACTAGATATATCATTGTATTTGAGTGTGTTTCACTAAAAGGATGTATACATTCCGATTGTGATTGTCTTTACCTTGCTAGTTGCAGTGGCGCTTGAACCCAGCACCACAGGGACATTGGTCACCTGCACAGACAGATATCTGTTGTCAATCAGAGGCCATGCCCCCTCCACTTTGCAGGTCTGGAACTCGTCTCTGAACGTCCGCAGGTGTGGGTCTCCGAATAATCCACAGTGGGCATACTTTTTCTGCTGCGCGGCCGCTCCGGATTGCAGCACGCGCTTCTCGTAGTTACACTGCTCAGACACTGCAGGTTTGGAGGTACTGGGTGCTTTGGCAGAGGAGGTGGGCCCATCGCTGGAGCAGTTGAATTGGGAGAAGAGCTCCTTAATGCGAAAAACGGCCGAGTGGTAGACCAAGTCACCCCTGCAGCTGCGGGCCTGTCTGCGCGTGCACAGCGCATAGGCGCGCAGTGCGATACAGTAGTCCACGTCGTGGGCCACTTCCTCCTGCAGCCCACTGGACGCTGAGGTGGAGGCCACATACTCAGTATTGCATCGCTGGATACGACACTGCTGGCAATGAGCTGGAAAAGAAGAAAAGAAGACTTAGTTTAGCTTTTCTAAGTAGATCTGGCACAATCAATACAATATTATGGGAAGATTGTTTTTATTTCTATGTCCTTTGTAATCAGTAGTTGTAGAGGGTTTCATGGAGTGTAGATTCAATGGATTAGACAGTTTTTGTTTTACTTAAAGCTTTTTATAACAAAGAACTCCTGCATGAAGTTATATTATTGTTTATAGTTATTCTGAGAACATTGGATGTTTTCCTTCAGTAGATTAAAGTATTATCACCCCAGCACCGTAACAATCATAGATGTGTTATAACATGGAGGATTCCATGAACCAGTGCTACCAACAACATAATCTATGCCCTAAAGCCTGAGTCGTCAACATTTTCCACCATCAAATTTAGTTCAATCAGGAGAGCCATTAAAACCCAAATGGTTCGTGCTCCCACACTGTGCAGTAGAGTCAGTCAGAACTTATTTCCCCTGACCAGGGCGAAGCTGCTGCAGGAGGAAACCAGCCCATGTAGAGTGCTGTGGGGTGTTGAATGTGGTTTGGCTGTAGCTCAGAGTAACACAACAAGTCCATTACTCCAGACTAGAGTCCGCACAGGAGGCCCCATCTCAGGCAGCGGGCCGTCTTACTGAAGTGGGAACAAGGGAGATTTGAACATGTATTTTGGTCACTCACAAGCTTTAGGTCTTGTTTTGACATTTTGGATCCAGGAAGAGAGTACACATGGTTAAAGACAGTACCTAGAGCTGGGTGATACAAATAAAAATATGATCGTGAAGGAAATATGTTTGGAGTATTTTACAGTAATAACAATACATCATGTGGCAATCAATCCAAATTGTACCAAAAACAAAAGGACTGATGATTTAAAAAAAAATGCAACAATCTTATTTGTAACTTTGTGGAAGCTTTTATCCGCTTTATTAGTATTGTATTTTCCGGTCATGGGGCAGCATCAACATGAGATTCTAATGCATTTTGTTATTCTTAGAAACCAAAACAAAAGATGATTAAGTACATTTAAAGTAATTAAACTTTAAGTAATGATAATGGCCGATCGCCCCCTGTTGTATTCTCACATATCACCACTGGATGTCCACATAACAGGTGTCTGACAGTGAGACAGCTTTAGAAGGAGCTGACACCAGACAATTTGAAACTTATAGAATGTATTTGGAATAATTACATTATTACTTTACGTAATTAGAATTTTGGAAGAAAAAAAAACATTGCATCTATATACTTTTATACATAGTAGCAACATACAAAAGGAACGTGAATCTATAGATACTGGGGGAAAAGGTGGACTTTTTATCTTTTGCCATGAATCACTGTAGTTCTGGTGTTAATAGATATTCATTGTAAACTATGATAGTATTTGTGATATTATGACTTTGGCTTGGACAAAAAAGATCAATTAACCCAGGCAAACTAGTGCCTGAGTTACTGTAAATCTAAACGCAACCACAGTAACAGCTAAAATGATAAAATGTAAACAGAATTACTCAATACATTTCTTATAAACCTCTGCCTTGTCTCACATAGAACTAATCTAGTGTTGTGTCCATTCCATTATTAATTCCTCCCTATTTTATAAAAATTGTATTGCTACGGATGCTTTAGGCACTTTACCTCCAGACAGTTCACTAAAAAGGTCAACTTTTGATACTTTCAGCCACAACACTTATTTACAACAGAATATCCTGCAGTTGCAAAATCCCTATATTGCAACAGCCTAATCCCCTGTATACTGCAAACCTCTGTGTAATCTATGAACATCCCAAAGACAACACAACAGGCCAAGTCTTTGAAAAGGGTGCGTGTGAAGGGAACTTTTGCATGGCGTTCACACAGCTCTGAAGTCCTGAGCAGACATGACATATGACTAATGCATTTCACATTGACTACATTTTAACGTTGGAGCTGGGTGCGAAAGGTCAGCACACAAGCCATTCTACATTCACTGAAGAGCCTGACAATCTCTCTGCACTTATTTTATGCATTTGATAGATAGATAGATAAATGATAATAAACAGACTTTATACAGACAAGTCGTGCCAGGATGTTCCAGAGTAGAGCCCTGTGTCCCAGCAGATGTATTTGATCAACTTTAGTTTTTAACAAATTGGCCAACGATGACGTATTGTGTAGAATATTTTTGCCTTTTATTGGCCAAAATTCTTTTGACTTTACAAGAAAATTACCAAAATGTGGAAATAATCTACTGGGTAAACTTTTAAACAGAAAATTATAGGTGGATTGACTGAGATTTGTTCATTGTTGTTGTTTATATCTGGTGCATTCTGTAGAAAGTTATTGGCAAGTCCAGCCCCATAAAGCATGCACACTAATGAGACAACACAGCCATCATTGGACCAAATGTTTGTAGGCTTGTTTTTGTATTTTACCCCCACCCAGACATCCTATTACGACTTATTTTACATGAGCATGGGCGAGTAAAACGTCTATTACATATATTCAATCTTATTATTGTGTAGTGTGAGATTAATAACACGTTTGTAAAAATGAGTTAAGACATTTAAAATAATGATAATCGTGTGCGCCAAGGAAGTAGGGTGAAACAAAAATAAAAACGGGGTGAAAGTGCACTGGATTCTTTGTGGCAGGGGGACAATAAGCTTGCGACCAAAAATAATAATAAATAAAAAATAAAAATAAAAAAAATAAAAAATATAAGCTTTCGACCACTATGCGTAAAAGTTTATACAGTTGCAAATTAAGCTGTAAACTTCAGAAATACGACTGCACTTGTGTTTTTGCGATTAGTATATAAGGTATAGTTCATGTATTTACGTTTGTTTCAGCTTTAGAGGGATTTTTTTGGTTATAAAAAACAAGTGCCCCCGTCCATTGGGTCCGGGTGCTACTATGCTAACATATGCTAACGCAGAAGCTAGCACGCAACTCCGCACCTTTCCGAGATTTCACTCAAACGTGGACGTGGTTGTGGCTTCAAAAATGTGTTACGTATTTGGTAAGTATTTAGAACGTGGCGTGCATTGTCATGTTGTTGTAAAAGTTGTGATTCAATTCTTAAAAAGTGAATTTGTGAAGAGTGAACTCGTGCTGGAGACTAGAGAAGGGGGGGGGGGGGGCTATTTAAAATCTTGGCATTTCGTCTTGCAAGAAAGAAAGCCCAACTTTAACTATAATTAAATAGGATGTTCCCTACCTAAAACCTAATCCCAATCAAAATGAGATTCTTAAACATAGTATTAGAAAATAACTACGCAAAAATAGCAAAGAGATGTGAATTTCTCTCTGCCCGGATGATATACCAAGATCGCCGTCAGTCCCAGAGGAGGAGGCTGGACGTGAAGCAACAGGCTTTACTTTGTCCCACTAGCGGAGCGCGTAGCCGCAAACAAAAGCGAAAAAAACTCTACCACATCACGATGCCAACATACGATAAACGCATGCAATGTTTAGTTTTATTTTTAAAGTGAGCAGGTGTAAACACATTCAACAACATCGCAATGAAAGGAAACTTTACAGGCGAGTGTTTGCGTGCTCCGGAGTTTGCATGCAGCACAGATTTTAACTTAGAAATCTTACCTGATCGAAACAGCAGCGAAAGTAAAACCATGATGAAGGTTACACAGTCCCACAGCTGCTGCTTAGCCGTGATCTGAAGTCCGCTTCTCCCCATGCCAATCCATTCACCTAGAATGGAGTACCGCGACTGCTTCTCATCGACGCTGTGGCTGAGGGGAATCACACAAAAATTCGTCTTGCTTCCACTGCGCTGTCATTCAAAAAGGGGCCCAGTCTTCAGGGCGGCTCTGCAGGGGAGGGGTCTAAACTATAGCCAGGGCCCAGAGGTGATTACTGGCCAATGAAAGACTAATTATTCACTAACCACTTGATATTTACATGTAGTGGCAATTACTGGGATGAGGACGGTGGAAAAAGGCTCTTCCAACAACAGCGGGATGGCGTGAAATAACAGACCACGTTATAATGACTATAAAGACTTCACAAGTAGGTGGTAAGTTCGTTAAACCCTCACCACAAAGCACAAAGATTTTTTTTCAAAGTAAAATATCACAAAAGTTAATGTCCTTAGAAAGTATTTTTTATATTTGTTGTATTAGGGATGGAATCAAAGTCACAATCATTTTGATAGGAGGTTACTATTTTTTTCCCCCATTTTACCCTTGTTGATTTGGCAAATCTTATTTTAAATTTGAGGTATCCAACTTTAAAATTAGAAAGAACTGAACTATGCAATAAGATCCTTCTAATATGTTGCTTTCAAAACAGTTCAATGTGTCACTAGTTTTCACATTAATGTATTTTTGGCCCCTGTCACAGCTTTAGAATAGCTTTTTCAGCCCGAAAGAGAGGACCACCCTCATTCAGAAATGTGAAAATATCTTGAAATAATATTATTTGGATTTGGATTATTAATGGATGGATGGATGGAGTTTGTTTGTGCCAAAAACATTATATCTAGACATTTTTTAAAACTGTTTTAAATTGTGAGCTGTAGGCCTATAACTTTCTTTGCACAATATGAAACAATCTAACTAAAGCTAAAGCTCTGCAGGTCAGCTGTTCAGCTTGGCCACCCAGGACAGCTCCCACCCCCACTCAGGCAGACAAATGTTTGTGTGTTTCCAGCATCAGAGAGGAATCTCTCACCTGTTGTTTTCAAGCTCTACTTTTAGTTTAAATGATGAGGATTGCTTGGCACTTGTATGCAAAACTAAATAGACTCAAACAAAGAGCAGCACAGAGGAAAGACACTAATGGAATTTGACCCATTAAGGACGAAGTCACAAGTGCTGCCATCGTTCTAGAAAATAGGTGCTTTCCAAACTTACTTTTTTCCTAGCGTAAATACATTTTTGTGTTATATCTTCAACAAATCTCAATTATTATCTTTTCCATGACTTGCTATAACTATGCAGCAGCCCATGTGTTACTCTTTTCCTTTTGTGGCAAACTTTCCAGGCCTCCTTTCTTTCTCTCTCTCTCACTCTTCCAACGACACCCCGTCTTTCATTTGCACAGCTGCTCCAAGCCGAGCGCGGCATGTGTACGCAGCACATACAGTACTGCAACTCTCACACCTCCGCTAACTAGCTATGGCTCTGTGTCGCACAAATACATTCATGGAAAATAAGCAATTATAAACATGGTCCTAATTCTCTCAAGACTGCATTTTTGATTTAGTCATAATTTCATATGATGGAAGAATATTCCATGGAAGAATCAAATCTGCTCCAAACTTTTGGTCCACAAATGTTGAAACTTTTTACTATTTACTGTCAATCCAATAAACTTGAGGCACACTACACAGCTTTCTTGATTTGGAGACCCCTTTTGCATTCAGTCCATCTACCATTGTCTAGCTTGAAATGTAAAATGCCTTTAATTATGTCAATATATATGGAGACAAGCAAGTCTCCATATAGTCAAGGCATAGTTACAGGGTATAAATGGAGGGATAAGAGCTAATTCAGGATATTGAGCTGTAAAAACATTCATAATTAAATAATGTAGTCTTTTTTTATATATGAGAAACAGTCTAAGCAAAGAAATAACCTCACCATGGAAACAGAAGTTGCACAATGCACCTTAACCTTAAACATATGGCTTAAAGCCCTTGGAAATGTTGCCAATTACATGCAAAAGTTAGTTTGAAGACACCACTTCTTAAAAGATTTCGATCTCAATTGACTGACATAAAAGACATTTGACAAGGTTTCATTTGAATAGGTAAAGGCATTACAGAGATATGCCCAAATTCAGATTTTTGACAGTTCATGGGTAAATGCACACTACTTAAACAGTAAGAAATCCACACAGCTATGTTGCTCCCAATCAGTGTCTTATATTTATCTGATTGGGAGCAACATAGCTGTGCGGATTTTTCACTGTTTTCACGTATTGCACTTTTTAAATCCAGCACGCTAGTTCAGACTACAGGGATGTGCGGCCTTATTTGAAACCTAAATGCACACTACTAAAATAATACTACGCCTGACATAATCAAACCTTCTTCAAAATACACTACTCTTGCATTATATATACAGTATAAGACCTCTTCTCACTCACATCCCGTATGCTGCTTGTTTTAAGAGAGATTAAAAGTTATGGTGATGTTTTGGTGCAGCTGGAACTCTGGGGCCTCCCTCCTTACTTTATGAGGGAGAAGTGAACCCAGACAGTCATTGGATCACTGGGTTTTCTATACTGGCTCCTCCGACTGCACAATTGTGTGATTCAGGTGGCCTGTCAGTCCAGTGAAAAAGCTCTTCTTGGGCTCATGTTGATGCTGGCTGATATATATAGTGTGGGGGTGAGCGAAGACAGTTTAAGTCAAGTGGAACGCAGGGATTGTTACTAGGGAGGGGCCTCGGTCACCGTGTGCCAAGTTGGTTCCCCAGAGAGCTCTACCTTTCTCTGTTTGTTCAGCTAATTTTGGAGGGCTGCATGGTTGATCTGCTTTATGGCGGAGGCTTTTGAGTCGCATTCAGAAATCCCCTTAAATGGGTTACATAGCACGGCACTGCATTTGAATCCACCTCACCTTCGGTCTTGACAATCAACAGATGGCATCTCCTGAAAGAAAGACGGAGAGACACAATGTCACATCGTTTTATAGAGTTGTCAAAAGTATATGCAAAATACATCCCACTGTAGCATGAAGCAGGTTAGGAAGATTTTGATAGGAACTTGTACGTTATGGTTATGGTATAAAAAAAGTGTATTATTGTGTATTATAGTGCGTTGTATAAAGAATAGTAATTTAATTTTGGTGGTAACAAAAATGTTATTGAGTGTATTTTTTGTATCGACCCTGAAATGTCAGCCTTATGACATTGAAATAACATAACGTGTCTCCTTCTTTATTTTTTTTGTATGACTTTTGAAGTAAAACAAACAGAAGAATATAAGCTCTCAAATATCCAGTACCAAGTTTTACCCACGTAAATAAAGGGCTTAAAACTACTAAACCTTTTCATTTATGAAAATAATAAATGTTGTTTATGCCAACACTAAGAGCTAGGTACAAAAATCTTATGAAACAAGATTTTATCATTGGCAAACAAGAAACAAACTGCTTGGTTGGTATCTTTACTTCACACTTCAAACATACAGGGAAAACAAGTGATGGAAAAAATAAATAAATCCAGGAACTGGTTAGATGTTAAAGGGGAAAGAGTTACAGTTTGTTTGTTCTCTTATACAAGGAATAAGGATTTGGAGACTGCATTGCCAACTTTTAATGAATTCACTATCTGGTGAGAACCATGCCAGAGGATCTCCGCACAGACCAAGGGCTCTTGTCCTCGATGAGCTTGGGTTCCCAGTGCGAGGCTGATGAGCAGTGAAGCACTCAGTTAATTGATGCAGGTGGATGGTAAGGATGAATTCAGCACATGAAAGAGGCTCCTGAAAGGCCTGTCCGTCACAGGACACAGAAAGAAGCCTTTATGTCCATGTTTCTTTAGGACTATATGGGATTGTGTGCTGCAAACAAATAGGCTACAGCAAAAAGACAAAGCAAAGGCTTGTTTGTGTCATGGGTGCTTTTCACTTATTATACAGGTGTTATTTATAAAACTATATATTTTAAACTATATTATATCCTTTTTTCACACCAATTTAGTAACAAAATGGATCTTTATACAAGTTCAATAATTGTAATAGTTGACTGAGATAGCTAACTCTACAGGCCCTAAAAAACAATTTAATTAATACACCGCATTTTTCCCCACGTTTTCTCCAGTCTGACCTAAAGGAATAAATACATCAATACGCCAACAGCTGTGCAAATGAGCCATACCTTCCAAAGTGATTGCCACAGCATATAGTAGGACAGCGTACGGCAAAAAGAAAATGATCACAGTAAATTTACTACAGGGATGACAAAGTGGATGTATGGAGCTCTACTTGTGGTGCAGTGTTTGTAGGCTACTAGATGAAGGAACTAACAGCTGGAGTTTTTGTGTTGTAGACTGTTGTCGGAGCAAGGATTTTTTTGACCAACACAGCGCTAAGAATGGCTAATAGTAAGAGCCAAAGTAGTGACAGAGTTTTGCCGAGCCAGTGTGAGGATTGGGGGAGGGGAAGGAGCAGGCCTGAGGATTGGGTTTCCCTTTGACTGAGTCTCAGGGCAGCTCCACATGTTCCTCATTAAAGCGCTCACACTGTGGGAGCAGCTCCACACCAGGATGCTTGTTTTTGTTATTAGGCCCATCGAGCTGTGGTCGGCTGGAAGCCCCAAAACAGGTCCGGGACCAGTCTGAAGGACCATCTCTTCACCACGCTGTCCACAACCACACCACATCTGCACCAACTTGTACTGGCATTAAAGATCACTGTGTACAGCAGAAGTGAGCCGTGTTTAATGGAACAGGGCTAAGGAGTACTTAAGGAGTCTTCAATGCTTATGGAGACTGCATGTCTGATCCACACTGGCTGCTTTGGATCAAGTATGTGCAAACAGAATATAAAACAAAAAACAAAGAAAAATAGAATGCTGTAAAACTTTAGACGTACCAAATATCAAATACAAGTATAGATACAAGAGTTAGATGCAAAACTAATATATTTATTGCCTTAATACAAAGTATACATGTAAGTAAGTAAGTAAGTAAGTAAGTTTTTATTTATATACCGCCTTTTCACTGCAGATCTGAGTCTCAAAGCGGTTTACAATTGTTAATTTTGGGCATTTGTCTCTCACTCCACACAGAGATGGGAGCGGGGCCAGTACAGGAGGCACATGCCAGAACTATTGGACATATTTTTAGTGGTAGGGGAAACCAGAGTACCCGGAGGAAACCTACGCAGACACGGGGAGAACATGCAAACTCCACTCAGAAAGGCCCTGGTCCGACCGGGATTCGAACCCAGGACCTTCTTGCTGAGAGGCGAGAGTGCTATCCACTCAGCCACCGTGCCGCCCACATGCCCACATGCATTTGTTATTTGGTGTGGTTTGAAATTTAGGAACCAAACTTGACTGTGTAAGCCTGTGTCATAAATTGTTATAGCTAATTTAACAACTAAGCATTCTGCCACTTAATATCGCAAAAAGTTAGGCCAGATAGCAGAAATTAAACTACTGCTGTTATGAGATTCCTTCCTGTTTGGCTATAACATGTATCCTCTTTAAAGTTTTAGTATTGGTCCAGGCAGAAAATCTCAATAAAAGTAGCAGCAAATTGCAGTGGTTTCATGCTTCTGAAAACTGTTGAATTTCATGCTCATCTAAGATCTGTCAGTGGAGACTTGGATCATGTTTCTCTGAGACCGATAACATCAGTGATTGAGATCAGGAGCAGTGCAGGCCCTCCGCTGCCCCTTCATGCACCACGCGGTCGCAAAACAACACACTCACTTATTGAATTTTAAACAGGAACCAGAGCAAATTGGTGGCTTGAGTTTTTTCTTCTCTGGGCCCCTGTCTGAAATGGAGTCCACAGCATGGAGACAGCGATCGCGGGGGCCTCTCTCTTTGTTATCTTGGCCCAGATAAGAAGGGCTGTGGTGTTAGTGTATACGGAACGGCCCTGATACGGATCTCAGCTCAAGCATCCCACTTACAGCGCTGTGACTGATAGCTGTCGGCACACTCTGCTGCTTTGAGGGGCTTCAGTGCTGTTTGCGCAGGCACCCCTCTGGAGGTGACTCTGTTTACAATGACCCTTTGGATCATTGTCCCTGAGTAAACAAATATTATCACACATGCTGATTGTGCAGAGAGACTGTTGGGCCTACATTAAAATGCCATTACATAAAATGTCCAGGTCCCTATTGGGTGTGGGAATTTTTATTGAGCTGAGGTAAGAATTGCAATCACATACTGCATTTCCTAGAGTTGGCTAGGATTGATTTAGGGGGAAGGAAAAGTTGATCACACTTGACAATGTTTCAGCTTGAGATGAGTTGTAAAGAGAAGTACTCAATCACAATAATCTCTTGGGATGATTTGCTGCAGTGAAAGCCAAGACAAAGTCAAAAGGAGCAGACACACAGTTTAATTTACATCTGAGGGTCACAAGCCATTGTCCTAGCAGCATCTGCTGCTAGATACATTTTGTGAGTTCAAATTATATTTATTTTGCGGACCTAATATCTTTCACCAAATAATATTAAATGTGCCCAGCCCTGGCATCAAAGCAATTAAAAGTATGAAACACAGATGACATACAAAAGGTTTCACAGTTCCAGGACATTTACACAGTCCCTTCAACATATTCTGGGTCTTCCCGAGTCTCCTCCCTGCACGACATGCCCAGAACACCTCCTCAAGAAGGAGGCATCCGAAACAGAAGCCTATGTCTAATGGAGCGCCCAGCCACTGTGCATGGAAAGCTCATTTCGCTTGTATCCACGACCTTGTCCTTTTGGTCATTACCCAAAGCTCATGACCATAGGTGAGGGTGGGAACAGAGATTGACTGGTAAAATCGAGATCTTTGTCTTTTGACTTAGCTACTTCTTCACCAAAACGGTCCGATACAGCGACCGCATCACTGCACACACTGCGACTCATGGTGGGTTTTGGACTGCGCTTTGTCTGACTCGTCACCTAGGACCTGTTTGACATGGGTGACTCTACATGAAGCCCCAGGCAACATAGCTCCTCGTATAATCCGAGTATGCACACTCCCCCACCATAAAGAACTCTGATTTGAGACGATTGCTGCATTTTGAGTCAGTTTAACTGGATCATGCCAAAAAATCAGATATTCTCCCAAAACTACTACACTGCCATGGAAACGTAAACACAGAAAATGTGGCCCGTGTGGATGGGTGTATCTTTAAAAATGACTTGATTCCGGGATACAGAGACAAACACACACCAAATGTTCGTTGGGTTTTAATAATTCCCCTCGACGAAAACGGTTGACAAGCGATTGTGGTAGACACTGTGATCTTAATATACATGTCAAATATATGATTGTGCTAAGTATATACAAGTGCTTTCTGGATTTGGTCCCCTTGTGTAGTCTCCTCTGCTCTGTCTAGGTCTTGCTCATGAATAGACAGGTAGAGGTAACCCTAGCCCGAAGGCCAAGGGTTCACACTCGGCTGATGAAGGACGATGGGTAAAACAAATGAAGCCCCCCACTGCTCTGGGACCTCTGGTGCCCTCTGCCATAAGGGAGAGAGTTCAGGGCTGTGTGATCTTTGCACTCTTCTGGTCTTCAGTCCGTGTTGGGAGTTTTGTGGTTTCAAGTCAAATCCGCTCCTGATTTTCGCCTGTTCTCATACTCCATGTTGGGACTTAATCAACTATCAGAAAAAGCGTTTCATATCTGGCAGATTGAGGGGTGTATTGCATCCAGAAGCACTGTCTGGACATGCCTTCTCTCCACCCAGAATTCACGCTCACTCTCCCCACTACCCAAGCCCGGCGCATCACACAAACAGGCAACAAATTGCTTTGCGGTGACCTCTGACATCGGGTTTCTCTGCTCGAATTGAAATCTTAATAACACGGCCCAGAGTTAATACTGTGCACTGCTGAATCCACATCTCCATTTCCCCACTCAAGGTGGCTGTGTTAAGGCGATGGATTTACAGCATATCTGGACACATATTTGGGCAATTGTTGTTTAACTTTAAGCTTTTCATTCATGTCTATCACCTGCTTTTACTTACTCATTTTCTGGTAGTGTATGCTGTGAAATTGGTAATTGGTAACTAATAAGTGATGGTAAATCAGTGCGTTTCGTTGATTGATTGTTGATTCAATGATTGGTATTTGATAAAGCTGTCAGAGCCTGCTGTTGTTTACAGAGTAAACAAAGTTAATTAAGTATTTTTTACTTAATTTACCATTTAGCTCTCTTCCTGCAAAAAATATGATGCACAGTAGGGCTGAAACAACTAATCGATTAATCGACGACTAATCGATTATTGAAATAGTCGACAACTATTTTAGTAATCGATTAATCGTTTTCTGGTTCACACGGACTCAAACAGAGCAAAAATGACATGAAAATTTAGTATTTTTGATTAAAACCGACTTATTATTTCATGAATATCTGTCTGTCTCATCCAATCAGATAGCACAATTAGCACAAAGAGCCTGTTACAAACATTTACTTTAAGTTTACGCCATCAATACGTCCTCGAGTGTTGCCACTTTAGCTTTTTGTGATGAAAAAATATTTTTTTTCTACACAATTCACAGCCAAGCTATTACTCGATTAATTGTAAAAAATAATCGATAGATTAATCGATTACAAAATAATCGTTAGTTGCAGCTCTAGATGAGACAGACACACAGCAGGTGGCATAATGTTGTCTTATTCAAACAAATATTGCAAATACTTTAACAATACCTTGTATTTCACAATTATAGATCTCATTGCCTCAGTTGGAAAACTTCCCAAAAACTAGAATGAAAATAGTTATTTATTATAAATCCAATTTAGTCTGAATAATTATGACCATTACTGCAAAATTAAAGATGCTTTAGCAGTAATGGTCATAACTTTACGTTTACATTTAGCCATTGATGAAACAAATTCAAGCTTTGGAGAAGGCACCCAGAGAATGTTAGAGCCGGTCTGAGTTGGTTTAAGGCACTGCGCTTCAGAAACACATACTTCTCCTGACCTCTATCAGAGTCTCACTGTACACACTGAAATGTGTGAGGATATAGGATATAGGTCTCAGGCTACACTGATGACACTTAAAACATGCCAACACACTATTAAAAGAGGCCACCACACTAGCCACAATAAGTGCATAATACCTTGAACTACAGCTCTGTTTAGCTGTTTAAATGCCATTAGTATTTTAATCAATAGCAATGGTTAGCATTAGCATTGTCCTCTGTCTGAAGATGCTATGATGATGCCCATGGCTTAAAATTCTTACCTTAGACTTTTTTCCAAGCAGAATGTAAATGTCTGTTCCTTCCTAAGTTCAGCTGGACAACTATCTGAGCAGCAACAGTACGACAGAAAGCCATTTGGAATCACAACAGCTGTGTGTTTCAAGAATCGGCACATTGATTAGAGTAGGATCCTAGTGAGCGATGAGGCCTAATTCCTACATATCTGGGCAGGGTGCTTCGGAGAATGCCCCTAATGGAAAAAATACTGTTGTACTGTCACATGCATGCATATATATATACACAAATACCCGGCATAATGCAGTCATATTTGAAGATATTCATAGACTCCCCACTGTATAACAATGGTGTCCAGCTTTATTCTCTGCTCCACCCTTTGTCTTTTGTCTGCATACCATCCATGTGATTGAAACAATTCTTCAAATCTGATGACCAACATTGAACAATCTTTTTTCTAGCTCAATACCAACC